CTGTATGAGTGGGAGGGTGTTGCATGGGTTCTTAATGGGTGGAGTACCTAGCCCCCTACGTTTTGATAAGAGTATTCTTGTTAATAAGCATAAGTTAACTTTTTTTCTTAGTGCGCTTTGAACTACGATGGATGAATCTGATGATTCTATGATTTTTTTTCTCTTAGTGCTTAATGAATCAATTTTTCTATAATTTCTTGCTCTTGGTGATTAGTGGATAGATCTGGTGGTCATGAAATTTGTACTCCTAGTTCTTAGCCCCCTGCTTCTTGAAAGAAGTCATTCTATCAAGGAGCATGAAAGAAATTAGATCGAATTGCCAGCCCCCTATTTCTTGATGGAAGGCGTTCTATCAAGAAACATTCGAGAGAGGTGTATATAGGACCTCTTTTGAATTCTTCTAGGGTTGGGTTAAATATGTTTTGTCGAGAGGTGTATATAGGACCTCAAGCATATTGATATGTGTTAAATATTGTTGGAACGTCCAAATGATCTTGCAATGCTGTTGATAAACATATGTTGTGATTGATATGTTGTTGATAGGTTTGCTGGTGGGTGTTTAAAAATAGGAAAATGTTTGAGAATAGTTTTACAACTCTACATTTTGGTAAGTGAAGTATCAAGTAGGGGAAAAATATGGCTCAAAGCTGATAGGAAGCCCCCCATTAAGTGTACAAGATTTTGGAACATGCTAACGCTCTTGTGATGTGATTTGAGCATTTGTAACATACTGATATTCTTGTTACAATAATATCACGAATCATTTATTTGAACTACGTTTGGTATATAGTCACATAGTCTGGTCAATGTGGTAAAGGATTAACAGTCAATTGAAAATGGTGTTTTTCCGCTAGTTTTGGTGTGAGACGAATAGTGTCGAAGCTTACTAGTGCCAATTTCTTGAACAATTGTTTGATTATAGTAAGCTTTGTGATTTGCTATATTAAGGGAGGGTATGCCATCGCACTTGGGGTTGTCAAGGGGTGCTATTACACTTGGGGTTGCCAAGGTATGTCATCGCACTTGGGGTTGCCAAATTCCTTCCTAGGGTTGTCAGGGCTTTTCCGAGATTTTTGAGGCATATGGCATCATTTCTGGGGTTGTTAGGGCCTTCTTAGTGTTGCCAGGGAATATGTCATTGCGTTTGGGATTGTTAGGGCCTTCCCAAGGTTACTAGGCCATATGACATCGCTCTTGGGGTTGCTAGGGCCTTATTGGGGTTGTCAGGGCATATGGCATCACTCTTGGGGTTACTAGGGCCTTTTCGGGGTTGTCAGGGTATATGGCATTGCACCTAGGGTTGCCAGGGCCTTCCCGGGGTTGTTGGGGTATATAATGAATAAACTGCATTGGTGGTTAGCACTGCAAAAAAAAACATGTTGGCAAATTGCTTAAATGTTTGTTTAAAGCTTAATGTTGAACATATAGACTGAATGGCSAGAATTACTTGAAGTGGTCACAACTAGTGTATACCTATTTAAAGGGAAAAGGAAAAATTAGTCACCTCCTTGGAACAAGACCAAGGTTGGGCGAGCCAAATTTTGATGCTTGGGACGAAGAGGACTCCATGATTATGTCATGGTTGTGGAGTTCAATGACACCC